AAAGCTTTATCTCAGCGTTTTATCTTGTCCCCCTTTGTAGAAGAAAAAGTCCCTCTTATGTCCCTCTTTTTCCTAGATTTGTCCCCCTTTATTTCTTTTTTAGTTGGCATCCCTGGACTGAACATCGATCGCTGCTCAGTTAGCCAATCGCGATTGACAATCAGGACTTTATCTGGATATTCCACTGGATGTCGCTGCTTTATGCATGTCCAGAGTAAGAGAAAATGTTAAGATATTTCGAGAAAGTGTTAAAAATAGCTGGTAAAAGAAGTAAAATATTCTGATCGAGGTATAGAATATGAACATCGAGAATTATTTAAAAAGGTGGTTGACTGAAAAAAGACTTGGTCACAAGAAAGAAAGAATCGGTTGTCCCTTTTTTTACTGCGAAACTGATTTTACTGAACTTTTCTGATTGGGTGATAGAAAAATTTACGATCTGGTGACTCAGAAACTCAGTTCAGTTCAATTCAGTAGTAATTTTTTTGGTATGTTCTTTTGTGTTCTGTGTTGATATAAGCTTTTACGCTTCTTTTAGTGGTGGGTAAGATGTGTGATAAAAAGTCCTAGACAAAATCATACGCACTTCATATCTGTTTCCCACTAGGATCTTACAGGATCCTAACATTTAGGATCCACCTGATAACTTCCTAGCAGGATCCTAGTAGGATTTTGTTTAAGTTTGTTTAGGATCCTAACAGAATCTTAGAAAATCCTATGATTTTCGAGTATACCTGATTTCATTAGTATTCTGTACGATTTGGTTAGGATCCTAAGAAATTAAAGCGAAATCCTAGTAGGATACTGGTAGCATATGTCTCGGATCCTGTCAGGAAACTCATAGGGATTTTAATAAGGAGGTACCCTCATATTTTGCTATTTTTTTTACAATTGTAACACTGAACGAATATAAAATCGTGTTTGATGAGCTCTGTTTACCAAGGCTGCCAAACGTGTCTCTTTTCAGTACTTTGTCTCTTATTATTTTTTGTTCCTCTTTTGACGTTTATACTACTTGTAACCGGATAATTTATCCAGTGGAATAAGAAGATATGGAAAACCCGATACCCAATCAATACCCTAATGTACATAATTGATCCAAGTACTTGTTTTCTTGATAAGTACTTGGAAAAATTCCTCATCTGTCATGTACTTTTGCAAACACTTCTCCGAGATTACAATACTTGATTTTATTACTACGAAGTACTTTTTCAAATGACTTGTAGTTTTACTTGGCAAATACTTTTCAAGTACTTACAACTAAATTTACTTCTGAAAAAAGGTAAGTATCGGCTACAATATATTCTAAGACGTTGTATTTGAACAATAAATTTAGGAGAAAACAATAGAGATTAAAATGAATTTATAGTATGCGTGAACAAATGTAAAAACGAGGAGAGATCAATACAAAATGAAAAACTAAGTTTAATTGTCATTTTTAATCCAGAGTAGACTTCGGGTACTTAGCAGCCACCAAAATCCTGCATCAATTCCTTTCATGTTATCAACACAACAGTTTTGAACTAGCCAGGGATTAGCTAAGCGCGATAAATTCAAGTCTTTCACAACATCGAGTGCCGATGAACGTGGCGTATGTTCATCTTTGACGCAAGCTAAAATTAATAATGGTAAACTTGGATTCATCCATTGTTCTGACATTATGATTTGTAATTCTGTTTGATAGTCATACAATGAATTTTCTTTTGCTGCGTCGATTACATAAACAAGACCACTGGCATCACGACAAACATCTCGAACTTGTGGATTAACTTCATATTTCGATAATGAATTATCTTCCATGCTATTGTTGTTCTGGTTATTTTCAATCTGTTGTACCAAACGATTTGAAGTGAATCTATCAGAACGATTCTCTCTCTCCTTCATGCAATTTGTATATAGTGTAATAAGATTAAATAGATGATTGCGTAACTTAATTTTGATACCACTTCCAAACCCATCTTTTCCCGGTATCATACCCATTGTCTCGAATGTTTTAGTTTCATCCCACAATAGCTTAGTGACTAAGGATTTGGACGGTGACGTTAATGATTCTAAACCAGGTCCGAACATAATCAAATCTTTGGAATAAAATAATCCTTTAACATAGTCAGATAATTTAAAAAAATAATTTATACTATCATCTATTTGTGTTGTACATCGTCGTATATCGGGCGAACACGTAAGATAAATTTCTTTTTTCGAACGATCTGATTGAACTAAATCATAACTCAACGGATTAGATTTTGAACTAATACTAGACCATTTTTTACTATCTCGTAGTAAACGTCGCGACCATAAATGATTATCGGTGGTGATTTTATACCATTGTCGACATACTTCAGACATTTGACATAAATCTAGAGGATTTAAATATGAAAACACGTGTAGATAGACTTCATTAGGTAAATCAAGAATATGAATTTCTAATGGATTTTGATTTGTTGTTGTTATTGTTGTTGCCGAATGTGTGGAAGTTATAGATTGTTTATTTAAGAGCTGTTGGATACCACCTGCCACAAAAATCTACAAGAAAATATACATTTTTTCTTAAATACAAAATATTTTTTGAGTATTTCTTATCCTCTAGAATTTGTACTTACTTGTTGTTTGCTCACTCGAACGCCTGTTAATGACGACAATAATTTCAGTGATGTTTTTTCCATAGTACATTTGTCTTCATCTGTTAAATGACGTTCACTTGGTTTACAATGTTGAGTATCAATTAGTTCTTCTTGAACGTTGACTATCGGTGTGTCTTTCATTTTGAATACGATTTTAGCTTAAAAAACGAGTAATATCAGGAAAAATACAACTCATAGAATTTATTCAGGTAAATTATTTATAATTATATATATATATATATAATTTTGTTCCACGTCGACACTTGTGTTGTACACACTATCTACGTGAATTGACGTGACGCACTCTCAATGTTAGTGACTCATAAGAAGAGGTGTTTTATTTTCTCTTTTGTTCTTTCGAAGAGAATAAGAAAAAGAAAAAAATTATTGAGATTAATACATGCATGTGTGTGTCTGTGTATGTAATTGTTTACTGTCGACGTGGAGACATTTCTTATACACGTATACAACATTCATATCTTATTATGAGAACGAAAAAAATGATTGCATATTTTAACTATAAATAAATTTAGTTGGTGAAAAACTAATCATTTTCATTATGAGATCTTTTGATTTATTCTTTAGCACTTTAACTGAATTTTTGAAAATATAAGGGTAAATAAAGGCACAATCAATTCACGCACAACAAAGTCAACACATGAAAGTTTTGTGTTAAATATGTTCAACGTTTATGCTAGTTTAGTTATAAATACCTAATAACTAACATCAGAAGAACTAATTGCGCCTTATACAAATAGTTGTTATTCAGCAATAAAACTCTTATGCAATGAAAAATACTGATGACAAATGTAGAACGTGGTTTTTATTTCATCCTTCTCTCTCTTATTCTCTCCGATGTGACATATTAAATTAATAAATCGTTAAATTAATTATTTTTCACAACCCTCATTGAAATATTCAAAAATGTTATTATAGTATCTCGTTTGTGATTTTTGTTCCATTAGACGTTTACATAATTCACACATTCTAATCTGATCTAATGCTTTTCCATCAATAATTATTGAATATTTTGCTCGCCATTGATGATAACTCGCATACAATGTGTGATTATTACCAACTTGATATAAATATTTACTTAAATCATTAAGCGAATGAAACTCATCAACATGAATAAATGATGATGGTGGAGCAATGTTAATATAATCTTCTTTTTTAGGACCATAGACAATCGGTATTAAACCAAAATAGAGTGCTCTCCAAAATTTCTCTGTCACATAACTTGAACACGTATTACTTTCAAAACTTAAATAATATTTATATTTAATCATATAATTTTTTTCACATGGTGTATATGGTTTACACCAATGTGTCGGATAATAGTCAACACATCGACCATAACCGTTAATTGGAAATATTTTCTTTAATTTATTATACAATGTTAATCGTTGAATAGCATCACAATTACTGACAAACCAAAGAGCTGATGTTTGACGTTGATGAAACTGATTATAAATCCATTTATTTACTTTGTTTGATTTCTTCTCTAAAGCACTATATACACCATAACTGGCTATAGACACTTCACTATCTAATTTATAACTTATTGTCCAATTAAAATGATATTTATTAAATTGTTTATAATTAATCATTGTCGCCGGTTCATCACTCCACAAAATGAAGACCGCATTTTTCTTTATGTTTTGTCGATCTGGTACACTCTGATGTAAAGTTTCGATATCATAAGCATGAAATATAATGGCATCTGCTGTTGAAAAATGTTCTCGACGTTTGCACGACCAAATACATTGATATGGACATGTAACACCAAATATTTGTTCTGATGACCAACTACAATATTTACCATTGCCGAAAACGGTTGTATATAATAAAATAAGTTTGGGTTCAGTCGTGATTTCTCTATTCAACGAAACGCTTTTCAAACTGTTTTCACGATAACGTTCACTAGCTGTTCGAAGAATCTACAAGATTTCATATTTTAAGTCACACATGAACAGTAAAATAGAGTACTACAGTACCAGTCAGAATTATAAACACGATTCATTTGAGATTTTTTTCTCTGATCACTAAAATTAAATTTAGAAAATGGTTTGAGTAGTTGAAGGATTTTCCAGTCAAGAACGATGTGAAAGATAATTCGATAACAATTACTGAAAATTGAGTGAGTCTCTCGAATTTTGAAAACCAAGTATTGTGAAGATGCCTAAAGTATTTTTAGAAACAATTTGGTCGTGTAGACCAAAAATTTCTAGTCAAAATGGAACGTTTCGCAGCTCTCCACAACATTTTTTTTATAAAACAGCATAAAAAATATGAACAGTCGTCTTTTGTTGTGAATCGTTTTGATTGCTTTTTACTGTCAGATATCTTTCATGAATTGAAGGCAGTTTGACTTCAGAATATGTTGAGCTTTTGGTGTTTTGAGAGACTCAATTTGTAGCTATTTTTTTCAAATTCTCATTCATGTTGATCCTGAATAGAAAATCTTTGACTATTCGGACTACTTTTAGTAGTTATCAGAGATTGAAGAAAAGAATTCAAAATAAATTGTTTATATAATCCTGGTCAATACTGTATGAAGAAATTAAAAATCTGAAAATATTACATCAATTATGTTTATAAAATCTTATTATCGAATATTTTATATATTTTATTGTACTTAATTATAGATACCTTTTCTTTCACATTCAACAGATACGAGATATCGTCCCAATCAACATTTTGTCGAACGAATGTTTTTACGTAGTTAGATGAAAATGGATTTGCATAAAGTATGATAAATAACAAAATTGAAATCCATAACAAACAGAAGATTAAACCAAATGATCTATATCTTCGATATCGCCACCAAATGTTTTTCACAAATCTCCGATAGTACCAGATCATCACATATCTAAGTTGAATCGCGTACATATAGAAAAAAAAATGGATCTAAAATGGGTTCGATGTAATTTACGTAACGGAGTTAAATTAACATCAAACATGAGATGATCGTTTTGTTACACATGTTTTTAATTTAGTTTATTTCGTAAGAAAATCCCGAGAAAAAATTGATCTGATGTTATATCAGTAACTTAAGAAACATACGCACGTTTACTTTTCACTTTAAGTCGTTGCCATTTCTAAAATAATTGAAATTTAGCGACCATTGAGATTTGACTTTTGTAATAGAAGCTTGATGTGTCATCCAGGTTTCTTTCCTCAAAATATCTTTAACTCACTCTGTTTAATACCAGCGATTTTCTTTGATAGAAATGAAATTCAATTTTTACCATCAATCGATCATACTTAACAATGGATATTTTTGCTTTTTATGTGTGACGCATTGTGACCTAACCAGAAGAGAAAAAAAGTATCTGTCACACGGTGATTATTGATGATAGATGTATATGAGAGAGGTATACGAAAGGTAATAAGTGATTGTATGACACATTATTTTTATAAAAAAATTAGATGAACAAACGTTATAGATTGTTTACTCTTATTAAAAGACAGCGTGTACGTTCGTTATGTAGGATCTAATATTCTAATAAATAAAACAAAAATTCTTTTTTTGCACCCATTTTTATGACAAATATCTGCATGAATATTCTACATGTAAATTGACATATGTTGCAGGTAAAACAATGAAATTCAAAGTTTGCCTCAGCAAAATTAGAATCGAAATATTTGCATAGATTGATTCTAAGTATGACTAGGCAAACTTAAAATATCCAATAAAACATTATTTTGTCGATATTTGTTACAGTCATTTCTCGAATTTAGATACATTTCATATTAGCTTAGGTCAACGCTTGATAAAGCATAGATTTATTTCTTCAAATTGAATTTTACATGTCATTTTGGGGTTGAAAATCATGGGATGTATTAGCAACATTGAGACGACACTATAGCGTCACGGCTCTCTAGAGACAAAAGCAGAATAAAGTCGAAATGTTACTTGCGGAGAGAACCCTAGTGAATGTGCACAAATTGGGTACCTTACTACACTATTGTCCTGGCTTGCGATAGCCAAAGTTCTTAGATATCCAAATTCAAGTACATTCACTAGAGAAACGTATGCCATAGAAACTCATTAAAAACCCGTGCTTATGATTCACTCCCACAAATGTGATGGTCAATAGATGTTGTTCACGTGTATAGATGATTACGAAGTCAAAAGAGGCGTGGGAACCGATTTTTACAGTAAAGTCCATGCTTTTATTAAGCGATTATTTTCATAAATATCAACAAAATCAATTTTTATTGGGTATTTTCAGTTTGTTTAGGCATACTTAGAATCAGTCAATCTATGCGGATATTTCAGTTCTAATTTTGCTCAGGCCAACTTCGAATTTCAGTTTTCCCTGCAACATATATACATATTTATATAACTCGTAAAGAAAATTTTGGAGAACAAGTATTTTTATTGGCTTAAGAGATGGTTCGTGAGAAAACCGACCTTGCACCGCCCACGTGACGTGGGCCTGAGGAATGAACTTTGGGGAGCGTAAAAAATTTTCTATGGCTCGCACAGCGAAAAGCCTATACCATAGTATAGGCTTACCAAAACTAGTCCAGTTTGTAGAGCTAATAATTCTGCATCCATTGATATATAACAAAGAATTCTATTTCACTAGGACTGTAATTTTCGTGTCCTACGAACCGGTCGTATTAGACCGGATTTTTTGAACCGACTTTCAGAATTTGTTTCTTTTTCAAGTTCTATCAGGCTTTTAGCAAGTCTTATGGTTAAATTCGTAATCTCCAAATAAAATAATATCGAGCGATGTATAACACTACTGTTCAAAACCTGCACTCAACCCTCTGAAGTCTTGATACTTCATTCTATGTCTCAAGCAGCTTTCACTCGTAATTCAAATTCGACCATAATTTATTTTTGCTTTATTTATAGATGGTTGGACAGAGCTTATCGAGCTGAGTAAGAATAAGTGTTTTTTAATTTTTAAAAAAATTTTGTATAGGGATGAAGTTAAAAATTTTGAAATATATAATTTTTTAGAAAACGCTATTTTTGTAAAAGAATAAAATTTTAAGCTTTCTGTTTATTATAAAACTCTAAAATGATTTTTTTTCTTATTTAGCATCCAAGACTGAGAAATTTTCAAGTGTATTAATTTATTTGAGCTTGAGACATTATAACATTTCATGGAGAGATTCGTATGCATCTTAAAATACGTTTGGTGGCTTATCATGTGAAATAGCACACAAATGATCAGACATACTTTTAAATGGACTTTTGAAGCATTTGTCAAAGATGGACATGGTGGGAAATGTTGTAATTTATTTTATAATGTTTATCCTAGGAGTTTCTACAGAAGAAATACTCGAAATATTGTCTGTTCCAAAAGATCGTTTTTTCAATTTTGTTTGTCTAACCCATCAGCATGGATCCTCTCAGTATAACCTCATGCATGGGTTTGTACAGCAGATATTCCTCTTCCAAATGAAACTTGAACGAACCAGAGGTTTAGAGAAAACTGAAAAATACTGAGATTTATGAAAAATTATTATTTTTCGAGGGAGGAAAAGGTTATAGGTGCATGATCTTTTAACAATGTACTTCCAAAAGCTCTATTAGCAGGTCAATAGGCTGTTTTGTGTACTCTTTCTAAATAAATAAAAAAACGAAAACAAATTTTGTCCTTGATTAATGTGGGCGGCACCAGGTTGTTTTTCTCGCGGACCATCTCTTAAGCCAATAAAAATACTTGTTCTCCAAAATTTTCTTTCCCTAACATCTACGTACATAATTAATAATATTTTTATTTTCACTTTTTGGGTTTCTTGGATTCGTATCGATTTACTGTGTTTAAAAGTTGTTGTTTTCGGTGTTGACAGATCTGTAACTTACAAATCAAGGATCTACTACTTATAGTATGGCAATCACCGGAGACGTGTGTTGATCAGCACAGTTTCCGTATTCGACATTTGAAATATGCGACACAGCATCAGAAGAGCGTACGCTGTACAAGTTTTCGGCAAAACATAAAACTACTCGGAATATTTATTGAGACAAATTTGAATCTTTGTCTGACAAAATGTAAAAGACAAAATTATTTCAACAACAATTGATCGCCTGAGATAAACAACGAACGGATGAAGATCATTTGTTCGCCGTTCCAGAAATCTTCTCGTATCAGACAGAATCAGATGACTCAGTATCTGTTTACTTTTTCTAATTTCTTCTTTGTTAAAGTAAGTTTACCTTCCTACTTGAGATAACCTCTTTTTTACTATATCTCTGTTTTAAAAAATGAATGAAGACAAAAGAAAACGATGATAAAATTTATTCATTGAAACTAGCGATATCTTGATAAGATGTTTGACGACCTACGTTATATAATGCAAGAAATTCTATCCATGACTGATGCATAGCAAATGAGATCGAGCTTTTTGCTGTTGTCCGAAGGTAAAATTCATTTTGTTTATTGTAATATGCAATACTTTGAACGAAAATAATGTGACGTCTCAGCGACAGAAGATCTGTTCCACAGATGAGAAGAGTAACCAGTCATATTGGCATTGTGAAAATTTTTTAAACATTTTTTATTACGAATTAGAACGAGATAAATCTTGATTCTAAAATAAACTTGTCATTTGTAGGAATTTTGTTGCATACGGTAAAATGAAGTATAAATCACTGTTTCATTAAACATTTTAGCGACAAGATATCAATGGATGTAGTTTTTACGTAAAAGAAAAAGAGAACAATAATGAAAAATGTAACGTGTATCTTTAAGTCTAAAGTGAGACGATTATGGTTTTCAACTATTTATTCAAGACTTTTCATTATTGAACGCTTATCGTTGATCAAAAATATATTCTATTTATAACTATTAAACACGAATCATCAAACATTTATATCAACCCGATTTTGCCCTGATAAAATGAATAAAGTCTTCGCCAATATTTTATTATCGCTTCTTCCTTAATACAGAAGTGTATACTAAAAGTGTTCCACTTAAAGTTTAATATACATTTTAGTTATCACAACAATTATCATTTGATATTGTGTGTTTAACATTTTGACGTTCAAACATTATATATCGTAGCAGAATAAACAAATTCTTTTTTCAAATTATAAAAGACTCTACTAATAATTATTCCATCCAACCAAGAACCAATTATACAAAAAAACACTTATTTTTTATAGAAATTTGATTTTGTTGGGATGTTCTTGATTCATAGGACCATTAATATTTATACTACTTTTGTAGAACTAAAACTTCTTCTTTTATGGAGTTCTTCATGAGCTGCAAAATGTACAATCTAAAATTTTAGGGAGTCTATTTCATGTATATAAAAAACATTAACAAATCGAAAACGAAAAAAGGCCTACACATAAGAAAAAACAAGAAGGACAGGGCAAATGTCGTATATGAATTTGTTTACAATTTTATAATCTATTCACTAGTATGCTCTGATTCAGTCTTTACGGTAAAATAAGATAAACTGTAAAAGTGGACATTTTGATATATGAGACAAGTCATGCTCAACAGAAATACTCTATGTCCGTAACGAAATAACCCCTGAGGCTAAAAATTTGGATTTATAGGTCACTCGAATATAATATGATGATGATTATCAGAATACTTTGAAGTGAAAAAGCTATGTTCTATTTTTATATCTATATAATAAATATCATTCAATGCATTCTGTTTCAATATCAACAAGTTTCTATATACTGAACAATTAGTATAGTGCATCACTATATAGTAAAGAGGTGAACTCTCTTAACGGATGTATGTTTGTATGTAAGGATTTTCACTGCATGAAATATGTAGAAATTTAGTTATTATCGACGCTGACAAGAGAAAAAAATGAAGAAAAGTAAACCGATGGAAGTTCATATGTTATAATCAAATATTGATTAAACTTTCTATATATACTCCTACCAGGCATACATACACTCATCATCATTTTTAAAACAAAGTTCTTCTCATATTTTATCTTAACTTATTTTATAAATTCAAAGATCAATCAGCATTCTTGGCTTCTGATTCATTGTTCAAATACAATGAAATTTATTTGTTTCTCTTTTCTATATGGGCGTGAATATGGTCTATACAGCTGGACTCGATTTTATCGATATCAGAATGTATAAAGAATTTTTTTTTGTTTTATTTGAACATAACACAAAAAGTAGACATTCACCAGAGGTAAATGAAATGTTAATGTACAAAGTAGTTATAAACGCGTGTGCATTCGTTTACATATAAATAAATTAATAATTAGTTAGTACTACGTTTATTACTAGCAGCGATACTCGATTTCTGTTATTTTTCATTCATCTAGATCATTTGTTGTTATTGAAACTTGCTCACTACAAGTAGATATATATATCATTTCTGTCTGGAGAATATAATTTTTTGATGGAACTTACAGAATCTATAAAAGTGTATATTCATTCCATTGAGACTTCTTCTAGAATAACACAACACGCATAGATAGATCAACTATCTATTGTTTTTCTTTTTCCTCTTAGAAAATAGAGAGCGTCATATTCTGATAGTTAATTAAATTAACGAATCTCATCATTATCTTTATTACTTGTGTAGATAAATCAACTATGGATAGAGTTTACTTTGTTCAGAAGATTTTTGTAGAAGAGTATACAGGACTGGTTATATTACTATTTTGTTTACAAAAAAAAAAGTTCATAGTAACAGTATATTTTAAAAATGAACTTTCCATTAAAAAAATCCTTATCAAAACCTTTTTTTTCGCTTTTTTGCTGAAAGTTTAATGATTGATGGATTGTCGCTCCTTTCTACTTTCTTGTATATATTTACTACCTCTTAAATCGAAAAATTCATCTTAATTTGTATAATACGCAATATATACCCATTCTCATTTGATTACATATGAAACCTATAAATTCTTATGAAATTCTTATATAATTAATAGTAGACAATTGAACATTTACTTTTTTTACAAGATTTCTAAAAGAAAATTTATAGGTAAGAATTTATTGAAACTAAATTTCCTTTCAAAGATAAGATTTGACATTTAAGAAGAGAATGTTGAGAGAGATTCCTATTAACTGTTGAATACGTTTTATCTATTTCTGAATACTTTGTACACTAGTAGTCTTATTAAATGTGACTGTCACTAAGTGACAGTTTTCCCTTCGATATTTTCGTTTCAGTTAACTATTGACATACAATTTCTAAACGAAACGGTAAAAGCATTTTCTTTAAAAAAAAAACGTGTTTACAAAACAAATGCCATTGACATTCCAACTAGAGTGGGAGCTACTTTTTTTTTCTTCAGTAGAACGAACAGTAATGAAAGTATATCGTTGATTCTTTTCCTTCGAAAACGTTTTCAAAGGCAGAATTAAAACAGTTTTTTGAGGGAAAACGATTGGGAAGTCACAGTGCATAATATTTAGTTTTACGTGAAGAATTCTGTTAATACGATCAACGTGAAACAAATACAATGTGAGAAGAGAATAAAATATATCCTAGAGACGAGATCTTGATCTTACTTTTCAAAACTAAGCTCTTTATTTAAACAAATTTAAGATAGTACCGATTCATTCTTTACATACGGAAAAAAAGAGAAATTATCTCTTTTCACTTTTATATTCTTTCCTTTCCGTAGATTATTTCTCATTGAGGAAAGTTAATTGTGCTGATAAAAACGATATCTATTATCTCTCAAATCAATCATTGCCGATTCTATATACTGGAATGTAGAATAAAAACAAAGAATAAAAATTGTTCTTTGATACTGGTAAGAGATGTTAAATATACAGTACTATTCAGTCCACTTATAGAGTTCAATACCTTCATTTGTTTTTAATTGTAATTATTTCAAATACACTAATTTTCTTTGCGTGTTATTCTTAATTTTATCCAAAGTATTTCGTTCTTGAGCTGTCATTGTTTGGTCAACTATACTTAGTTGATCTTCTCTATTCAAAAATTTAAAATATTTTTTTTAGTTTGTTATTCTCTTAATATTGTTCAGTAGCACGTTGGTGGTATAGAAATCAATATAATTTCTTCTTTTTTTTCAGTCTTGCATAAATATTTTTCTTTCCCTCTCATTTGACGCTGACCATACACACACACACATAACACAACAATAGCAGTTTTAAAGTTCAACATAGAGAATTTCTAAAGAGTTCAATATGCAGTAGGCACACATATTCATATGTGTACATCAGTTTAAAACAAGATGACTTTATGTATATTAAATGAATGAGTAAGAAGATTATGTATTTATTTTACCGAGAATAGACGGAATATTTTGGAAAATTTTTTTTTTGATCAAGATAGAATAATTAGAAGAAATTGAGTTTTATCCATTGTATCCAGTGATGAGAAAGAGAAATTCTCCATTGTGTTGTGTAAAATAAAGTGTTGAAAAATAGACATAGATTATTCTTTCGAATATCATCTATCATTTCCTTTAGCTTTTGTACTTCTCAAGTAGAAAGAAAAGAACATTTTCGTAATATAGGCCGTGTTTGTTTGCTTACTGATTGACATTTCAACATAAAGAGAGATCTTTTTCTCTTCTTTTTTTTTTTTGTGTTCAGAGTATATAACGAGTTGAAACTGAAACTTTGTAAGTTCCGATAAATAAGACAAAAATATTTGCCTCTGGTGTATTCGAGATAAAACAATTGAGAAAAGAATCTGTATCGATAGTCAGGTATACTATAATAGTGCTAAAAATTATTTACAACTAAAATAATCATTAGTGGCTTATCGTTGACCGATCTAAATACTAACTATAGATTTGAATATTGATTTGTTGCACAAAATTAATATTATATTAATTCAAGAGAAGAATATTGATGACAGAATTACAAGAGTAGAAAAATTTATATTCATTTCTTTTAAATAGCAATATTTGTCTATTTCAGACATTCATGTATTCATTGGATAATGATATTATGTTTTCTTTTTATCCTTGGTTATTATCCAATTCTTTCTCTATTTCAACGAAATTGTTTAATAATCGAACGTTTTTCATCGGCATTATTGTTAATTCTTTTTTTTCTTTTCTGTTTACAATTATCTCCAGTATCTACTTCATTATATGTTCGTTACATCGATCAAACTTCAAATGTTACTCATTTAATTTATTATTCACAATTAAAATGGTTATATGTTGCATCAATTGGTACTATAGCCATATACGATCAAAATTTAACACTTTTACAAACAACATCAGTAAAACATACATATACGAACGATTTAGATTTATGTATAATAAATCCATGTCAATGTTTAAAAAAAAATATTAGTTATCATTCAATTTATAATAGTGATACAATAGGTAAAAAATATCGTCGTCAAACATTACCATCAAAAACATCATCTTATTTTTCATCAGCCATGCAATCATTATTACGACCAGAATTATTTAATATTCCACCATTATCACTCATTTATTCATCATTATTAAAAAATCGTATTGATAAAAATAATTATAATTTAGCATTTTATCTTGAAACAGAACAACAATTATATTCAACACCATATTTAATTGATTGTTGGTCACTACAACAAGGTACATGTATTCTACGAAATGCTTTAAATTTAACTGATATCTATTATGAACAAAAATTTAATTCGGATAAACTTGAACAACCAGAAAGATTTTTATTTAATACAAATCCAACAATTCCAAATCATATTTATCCATTTCGTTTAAAATTTGAATCATGTACAAATGATACTGTTTATTTATTTCTAACATCAACGTTACGAAAAAGTATTTTAATGACAAATGAAGAAATGGTTAATAATTCGACAAATTTATTCTATCTTCAGTGTTTAGAACAATCACAACAGCGTACATTGGCTTTGAGAGTATTAGTACACGATCAGAAAAATGAATTAAAACAAAAATGGGCATCTACAGAAATCATGGTACCAATTGAAACATCAAAAACAGTAACTATAAATCAAACAGTAACATCATATATAAATGTTGTTGAACAGGATAATAATGATAAAAAAATGACATCTTCTGGACCATTTATGAATATAAATGATTATTGTCATGATACATTTTCTGTTATACGTTCAATATATACCGATTTTTTTGAACAAGAATCTTCGGATAAATTTCGATTATTTCAAGATGTTATTTATGATAAAAATGATTCGGCTCTTTACGTATTTACAAATCAATATCAAAAATCTAAACAGTCTTATGTAAGTAAGATAATACGTTTATGTGAGGGAATGATATCGTTTCGTCATTATGTTGAAATAACATTGAACTGTGGAATAAATTATACTCTCATACAAAAAGTAAAAATGATTACATTAAAAAATGGTAAACAATATATTTTAACAGTAGTATCTACAGCAAATAATGCACATAGTATTGAACCAAGTCAACGTTCAGCAATATGCATTTATGATTTGGATATGATAAGAAATGCATTTGTTCAAAATATTATCGATTTATCAAAAGGAAATGTTTCATTGGGAATGTCTTGGCTTCATGGAGAATCTGTTATTGTAAGTTTAATATAGTAAACCATTTTGAAAATAAAATCTTAAAAATTGTTATGTTTTTTTCAGCCACAGTATGCCACACCCTACGCTAATCTTGCTCGTTGTTCAACAACTCGAGATATCAGTTATTTAATGATTTATGAGGGTCATCAACCAATTTCATCTCAACCATTGATTACATTTGATTCTGATCACTTAACATCAATTGAGGCAATGGTAATCAATAATTACGTTGTAGCAATATGTGGAACATCTGGAGGAAAAGTGAAAAAGGTGTGTGTTTGTTTGTGTCTGTCTGTGTGTTTGTGTAGAAAAATGAAAACTTTGTTGTATATGACAAGTTTATCCTTAGATCAGCATTCAAATATTAAAGAAGAAAGCATATCAATTTGAAGAATTATTTGTTCATTATGGTCAACCAGTACTTCGACATTTAGCATTGGATGAAGATGGACGATTTTTATATGGCGCAACAAAAACAAGAGTAAGTTACAACGTCAAATTAATTTACATTTATAATTTTACCTATCTCGTATTTCAGTTATTCGTAGTTGATTTACACGATTGTGATCGTCATAAAACATGTTTTTCTTGTTTATCAATTCAAAATCCGTATTGTGGTTGGGTAACAATAGTGAACAGGTTAAACAATAATCTCATATTTATTCAAACTATACAATTCAAAATATTTTGTTAATAGATGTACTGTGAGGACAAATGATAGTAGTGAAGAACGTCGATTTGGATGGTTGCAAATAAAAGATAGTTGTCCAAATATTGTCCAAATTGATCCGGCAGCCATATCTATAGCGAGATCAAAAAATGTAAATCTCAATAATAAATAAAACTATTCATTTAATAACTATGTCTTCTTTTTATTTAGCTAAAGCTCAAAGTTGAAAATATACCCGAAGATCGTTCAGCGTTATATTCTTGTTCATTTGTCAAGAATGCCGATGAGATATTTTATAGTTCAAATGCTACTGTTCGTGATGATATGCATATTGAATGTATATCTCCTCCAAATCAAAATATTCTCGTACATTTAGGTGAAACACTTTTTAATACTATCACATCTACTATCACACTACTACTAAAATTTTAGAAACGGTACTTCTGAGACTAATGTACAATGATTTTCTACTCGCTGAAACAAATGTCACTTCCTATGATTGTTCACAATATCTCAGGTATTTTAACAGTGATATCCAGGTAATAATCCTTTATGCTATGAATCATTCACTAGTTTAGCTGCACAAATTGTCTGGATAACATTTATGAGTGTTGGTGGTCATTATTAACATACCGGTGTTTAGACAGAGAACTAATTTCTGTATCTGAAACAAATTCGACCATTAAACCTAAGGTGAAACAGACTGAATAGTTAACACTCTAATATAGCATCATTTTTATATATTTTTAGACCAAAACAGATCCAGGAAATATTTGTCCACGTTACAAAACATCACTATCTGATTTTTATATTTCAAACGGTGAAACACTTCATATTGGAAGTCAAAATGTGACAGTAGAAACGAGCAGTTTACATGTCAGTATACTATTCAAGTAAAAGATTTATCGGCTCTGAAATACGTATAGTAGATACTCTAATAAATTTTTAATCGCTTGAGGTATCTTTTTTACTATTTCATTCATATCTAATGTCTCCATATTTTTTAGCCGTTACAACAATATTTTCAATGTGTTTTGAAATTGACAAATGATTCAACAGCGTTAGCAGTTTCAGCATTGTTGTTAAATGAAACATATTTGATTTGTGATTCATTTAAAGTAAAACCACATCCATACGTTTTTAAAAATTCATCGAGTATCTTTCTCTAAATAGAAAATTTTTTTCTTCTTCTAGATTTCATACAACGAAAATATTGGAAAACAAAAGTATACATTTAATATTGAATGGAAAGAATGTCCAGAATGCGATTATAAAGTACTTGAACGTGAAGGAAATTTTACCGGTAAGTTATTATCTTTTTGTTATAGTTAATAAAAACAAATTTAATTGTCTAAAAATATTTTTATTATAGTGAACGTCTATAAATGCCGCTATATGTCTGATTCTTGTGGTTCGTGTATATTGTTGGAAGATTATTATAATTGCATATGGTGTGAAAAAGACAAATCATGTTTGAACGCAAAATTGTCTAATTGTGATCAAAATCAAGTAGTGAGTGCTGCAATAGGCACTTGTCCCGATCCAAGAATATTAGAAGTATAACTTTAGTTTATCAACATTTCATTTGATAACTAATAAGCTATTTACATGTAGATTGTTCCTTTGTATGGTCCATTAAACGGGCAAACACCAATTAAAGTCTATGGTACAAGTTTAGGAAAGAAAATGGATGATATTCGTGCTATATTAATTTATGAAAATCGTACAGAATATTCCTGTATAATTAAATCTGATTTTTATATCATTTCCCAAGCATTTTTATGTTCACCAATTGAACAATTGCCAATTGGACTATATATATTGAAAGTAATTGTAAAATCTGTCATCAGTAAAGATCGTCCAATATTTCGAATTGTGGTAAACAGTACTCTAGTATCTTCTTTTATATTGTTCTTCTTATTGATTCTTCTGTTTATAGCAACCGAGTATATCAGCAGTTTATCCGACATTGGGTCCACGTTCCGGCGGTACAATATTATCTATAAACGGAAAATATTTAACAGTAGGTAATAAAATACAGATATACGTTGGGACACAAGAATGTATTTTATTAAATGAAAAAAATGATAAAAAATATTTATTTTCGGACGATACTGTTTCTGTTGAAAAATTAGATATTGTTGATAATGAAATAATACAATGTCGTACAACAAAATTATCAACATTATCTCACATTGATGAAGTTCTATATCACGAACGTTCAAAAGTCTCGAAACGACAAACTTTATGGACTGGAACAATATCAGTATTTATCGATAATTTTACTGAAACCTATACAAATTTAACATATTCCTACATTGAAGATCCAAGTATCTATAATTTAAGTCGCTATACAAGTATAGAGAGTGGTGGATTACCAATTTTTGTTTATGGAAAAAATCTACATTCAATACAATTACCGAAAATTTTTCTACAGTACAATAATAAAAGTGAAGAATACTCTGATGTAAGCGATATTTCAACTTAAAATAAAAAAAATTTAAAATTTTTTTACTTTAGAATTGTACTGTGAACAACTCTGAAGTCATGTTATGTTATAGTCCTGCACTTAATTTGTCTATTTTTAATCTATTATCATCATCAATATCTTCGACAACAATACAGACGACTACTTCTTCGATTGTAACACGATTCAATTCTGAAAGAATGCAAAGAGATATTCAATGTATTGAATTTAAATTTGGTTTTATTATGGATGATGTGGAAAAAGTTCGAAATACATCAACATTTTTAGAAACATTTTTATTATGTCCTGATCCTGAAATTTATCCATTTTCAAATAATGGTATAAGAATTCAGTATCAATATGAATATTTGACTATTGATGGATCAAATTTACTTGATGGACTAATAGCCGAAGATTATACAATAACTGTAGGTAATTGTCGATGTAATGTTACATCTATTAGTGAAAAACAAATCGTTTGTCTACCACCTAATCGAACAACATTAGGAATACGAGAACGAACGGATTCGAGAGATGAACAAGCAACAGTTAGAGTATGTTATTTTATACTTTGTTTTAAATAATACAAATAATATAATAGATTTTTCTTCTATTTAAGGTAAAAGTAGGCCATCGATTATACACTATTGGCATATTATCCTATCGAGATATTGAAAAACGTTCACCAATTCTTTATTACATAGCTGCTTGTATCTGTGGAACAATTCTAACTATTTTTATTGTTATATCCTATATTCTATTTCGTCAAACAAATACAAAACGTGCAAAACAATTAAATCGTTTACAAAATCAAATTGATACATTGGAAATGAGAGTGGCAAGAGAATGCAAAGAAGGTAATGTTATTATTATGTTTTTTACCCTGTCTTGCAGCTGCCCATGTGATGAAAATCACGGAAAAATCGACGATTTTATCGCGATTTACGGACCGATTAATTGTGCGCATTATCGCGATAAAATCGACCAGTTTGCCGATTTTTTTGCTGACTTGTCAGCCAGTAAAATATGAGGCTGAAACTTCTATGCTATAGCATACAACACCTATTATTAAATCGGTTCGAGCTCAACAAATCCTCATAATAGCTATTTTCTCTTTCTCTGAGTTGAAAAATATTAAGTTAAGTAAATAACTGATTTAGCCGTAATTTAGCGTCAACATAACAAAATCGCCGATTAATTGCGATTAACTGGCGATATTTTTGATAATGGTGGTTTCTGGAAAAATTACCAATTAATCGCCATTAATCGGCGATTTTTTGTCGAAATCGCGATTAATCGTTAATATTTTGCAAAATCGCGATTAATCATCCAAACCGAAGCGATTTCGAGGACATGGGTATAGCGAAGCTATAATATCCATTTTCCAGCCAGTTTTACAATATTCAAATTTTTTTCTCTACTAATATGAACTGATGACGATAAAAAAAACATGTCATTAGATGTAACTGTCGATGCTCTATTCAACCACGTGTAAAGTATTGCATTTGGTTAATGTGACACAACTAAGATCAAAACTAATGAGAAACCGACCTCAAACACAGTGCTTGTCGTAAAACATGTGTAAAATCATGCAGAGACATCACAAAGAGCTCGCCAACGTCTCATTTTGTAGGAAAATATTTGCTCTACATCTGGAATGACTCAAAAAAAGTCTTGTATATTCAGATCTTTGACATTTGTATCAAAATTAAGAAAAGTAAGAAAATGATGAAAACCGATACTTATCTCCAATATTTGATATAAAAGTACATCATGCTCGTGTTTTAAAATGTTCTATTGTATATGAATCGGTGCAGAATTGTCTGCTCCACTAAATGAAGCTAGATTTATTTTGGGACTGCCATATGCGTGGTCTTTTTTTAAAAAATACTGGAAAAAATACATATTTTAAAATATGAAATTTTTTAGTTTTCTATTATTTAGTCCTAGATAGTTAAACATATTATTATGTCTAAACACATGATCTTATAGAGTAAACATCACTCCTTCAAATGAGCCATGAACCAGTCACAGGAGTTTCATAGTTTTTGAGAAAATCAAAACCTACAAAGACTAATGAAAATTCACGTTTTTTCGATTAATCGGCGACTCCCAATAGAATGTTTTGTCTCTAGTATGTTAACAAAACACTTTAAGAAAGAGTTATTGCAAGGTTAGTAGTCATTTTGAATGCTCGTCCGAATGACATGTGAATAAATAAATAAAAAATTTGCCGGCGGACAATCTTCTTACTGGTTGGTTTTCTCGCGAAGGCTCTCTTAACTGATCTGTACTTGTTGAGATATTTTGGAAACAGTCGATTTTTTTCTGTCTTATGACTCATACGCGCACAATAGATAATTAAATGAAGGTAGACTGAGAAGCATCAAACAGGAGTTTGTATGAATTATAAAACAATGATACTATCGAAGCATCGACGTCAACAAAACCTTATTTTAATATTAGATTCAATTGCGTCCGTTGTATTGAGAAAGTTTACTGACATTCAACATCATCAGTATCATATACAGACAAAAAAGCAACAAAACTTATATAACAGACACATACATTCTGATTACTATTATTCTAACCGTTACTCACTGCCCGTTTTGCGCTTTCATTCTTCTTTCTATCATTTCCATCACCTAATGCATTAATTACTTTGACGTTTTCTTGTACAAGTAATACATTTCTTAAAAATACAGTTTGATCAGTTAAACTTAAACTAAAGTACTACATCAAATCGCGAGACAGGGACCGATCTACCAAGATCTTGTTTTATTATCATTTAATACATTTTATTAAATTTTTTACATAAGAATTTTACATTTAATTATAGCTTTTGCGGAATTACAAACGGATATCGGAGAAATGACAAATGATTTGTGTCATTCGGGTGTACCATTTCATGATTATCGAATATTTTGTATGAAAATATTATTTCCAAATGCGACAGATGAAGAAAAATATATGATGTTACATCATGTAGAACTACCGGTATGTATTATTATTTATATGAGAATTTTGTTTGAATAACTCATGATTTGTTTGTTATTTTAGGTTAATGCAAGTAGACTTAACAACATTCATCAGGGTCTCCGTTTATTAGGACAATTATTGTACAATAAAACGTTTCTCTTATTATTGATTCAAGCATTAGAAGCAGATAAAATACGATTTCGTTTATTCGATCGTTTAACATTCGCATCAATAATTAGTATTCTACTTCAAGATAAATTGGAATATTTTACAGAGTATGTATCTTCGAATAAAACTAAATCACATAGTTCATATATTGGCCTATTGTAGAATATTGAAAATATTGTTAGCTGATTTAATTGATAAACAATTGCAACAAGATCGTAATAATTCAAAAATATTACTAAGAAGTAATGAATCGGTTGCAGAAAAAATGCTAACAAATTGGTTTGCATTTCTTTTATATCATTATATACGCGTAAGTAAACAAAATAATATTTAAGTCAATATATAGTTATTACTGTTATAGGATCATGCGGGTTCTCCATTGTACATTTTATTTCAATCTGTTAAACAACAAATTCATAAAGGTCCCGTTGATTTTGTGACAAGTGAATCAAGATATTCGTTGAGCGAAGATAAACTTATTCGTCAACATGTTGATTATAACTCTTTAACAATATTAGTGTCTGAGCTCGATAGTAAACCAGTACCGGTGAAAGTTCTTAGCTGTGATACAATAACTCAAGTGAAAGAAAAAATATTGGATACATTTTATAAAGGTATACCGTATTCAAAAAGACCAAATGTGGACGATTTTGAATTAGGTATAGTATTTTGTATTAAAATATTATTTAAGACTTTGTTTAAAAAATATGTTCGATAGAAAAATATAGATTTGCCAGTTCTTGAGAATTGATAGAGAAAACTGGATGGAATCTTTTCGTTAAAAAAATATTTAAAACTATTTTTCAATAGTAGAACTTTGAGAAAATCTATCGGATCCCCAGTGATTTTAGAATTAATGAATAAGACACAAGTAATCGACTACACTGAGACACTTGGCAAAATATTTATTTTCTAAAAAAAATTGGGAAAATCTAGCGAAAATTTAATCCTGATGAAATAATTAATTTTTACCCATTTACACTGAGTATTAAAAATATTGTGTCCTGCTGATAACAGACTAAAATTACTCGAACATTTTTACTCTGGACTTGGTTTGACGCTCTTATCAATAATGAGTAGCTGTACGGTTAAAAACATTCAGAAATTAATCTGATTTTTCTAAAGATTTTTCAGAAAACTTCTTGAATAAGAATACATTGCATTCTGATTTTCGGTTCTAAATTATTTATAGATACGTCAGACTGAGTTTATGTTGAACTTTTTCAGTCATTTTAGTTTGTTGTCAGTGAAATACACTACTATTTAATACTCAGTTAAAAGAGATAAAAATCATCTATTTCATCAGAATCACGATTATCTAATAAGAATACGATTATCTATGAAGATAGAACATTTCTATCATGTTTTGCTCAAATAAAACTCCATCCACAAGAAAAATCATTTGTAGGTAAAAACACGATCAACGTTAATATTTTGCACTTTTCTATCTGTTGGATTTGTGGAATATATGTGCGAAAGTATAAAATTCAAACAGAGCAATTTCAATCACATATAAAGCTAAAACCTAACATGCGTATCACGTTCATCTCTTAATTATTCATATTAACTTCAACGAACTTTTAAACGAATATGTTGGTTTTCAAAACTTTTCTAAAAATAACCATTGACTCATTTTTATCGATTATCTAAGTTTCATTCATTGCTTGGATTATCTAAAGTCATCGGATATTAGTCTCGTGAGTTTCAGAAAATCCGATAACGCGTCAATATCGCTGAAAATGACGATGTCGCTTGAGTCTCATTATGCAGAGAACGAACACTACAAGATATCAATCTATGTGAAAAAGCCAGCATATTCCTAATTGACTTTTAAAAAGCTGAGCGATTTTCTCAGAGATTCTACTTTTGGAAAATATTCTTAAACTTTTTTTTATGAAAAATGCTATCCGATTTTCTCTATCGATTGATGAGAATGGCAGACTATCGAACGTTATGGAAAAAACATCCACAGTCAACATATTTTGTGAAACTTCTCTCCATAACTCCATAATAGAGAGGACCTGAGGTTATATACTCGCAATTCCGTTGTTTTCGGTGCTTTTTTAACACCCAGCCCCCTCTCCTAGTAGGCCTAGTATTCAATTTGAAAGACATTAGTACTCATCTTAAATTATAACTAAACGAAAATATTATTAGTAGCCGAATAATCAAGGTTACAAAATAAATCAGAGTTGAATCATTACGCCGAAAAATAAAGATTAATTTCTTTTTTATGAGGTATGCTCAGTTAAACTATTAAATGAAGGATATAGGAGTTTCACAATTTTAGTCATAATAGGGGTTATCCTGACAAGATTTTTTGAAACAGATAGTGATTATAAATTTTAGAATTACGAACAGATGCGTATAGAAAACTGTTGACTGATGAAGACAAAAATTCTATATCGGACACATACGGTTTTATTCAATTACAAACACTTTCCAGTTACAAGGTAATAAACAAGAAAAATTTACATACTAACACTAGCAAAGCGATATATATTTTTTGGGTTTTAAGATCCATGATGGTGCAAGATTATATTTAACATTGAAACAGACGGCTATTAATTCCGATGTTTTCAAAACATCATTTGCATTCCGAAAGAAGATTGATATTAGTACAACTTGTTACAGTGTGAATTGTTGCGCAAAAAAAACATCAATAGAAGAAGGAGGTACTATGGTTAACACTTATTTTATAAATAACAGAGAAATATTCATTATTTACTTGTACATTAGAAAAATTTGTTTTTATTTAAGAAAATCAAACATTATTGAGTAAAACCGTACACAATGGTCAGAGTACGCCCATTAGTCGAAAAGATAGTTCAAATTATCAAAAATCCATTTCTGAACAATTAATTAATCCTATGAAACTTGAAAAACATAATCGATTTTATCATTTAGTAAAGCCAACTGATATTAATCATCAACGAGAAGGAAAATTAGTATCTGAAGTATATTTGACACGATTACTTGCTACCAAAGGAAGTTTACAACAATATATTGACAATTTTTTTGAAACAATATTCAGACTCTCCGATTTACCTACGGCAGTTAAATATTTATTCGATTTTCTAGATGATCAAGCACAATTACGCAACATTACAGAAACACATATTATTCACACGTGGAAAAGTAACAGGTATTTAAAAGACTAACAATAATTATTATTATTATCATTAGTATTAGTATCATTATAAGATATTTTACAACTTTATATTTAGTTTACCTCTACGATTTTTTGTGAATATAATTAAGAATCCCGATTTTATTTTTGATGTTCAAAAAACAAATGTTATTGATGCATCATTGTCTGTAATTGCTCAAATGTTTATGGATAGTTGTTCGGCTGGAAGTCATGAATTAACAAAAGATTCACCATCAACAAAATTATTATTTAATCGTGATGTTCAAAAATACAAAAAACTTGTTGAAAAGTAAGATTGTTAGAGATAATATTTGTCTTGTCTTATAAGAAGAAAATAAAGACTTCTCAATGAGAGATTCAATATCTATTAGAAAGATTGACTATTCTCAATTTATGCTTTTAATTTCTTCTTTTACATTAGCATTACTATCAAAATTACAAGAAGAAAGATGTAAAAAATTTTATTTATTGTTCTTATTTTAGATACTATGACAGTATCTGTCAGTTACCATCAGTATCACTTGTTGATCTAAATACAATCGTGAAAGAATCAACTCAACAAGTATGATTCAAGATTTTTTTTTTTTTTTTGTTTCCTAACATTTATACTCGTTTATAATAAATAATTTAATCTCTATTTTTAGTATCATCGACAAGAGTTCAACTCTACATATTTATTATTTAGATTATATGATGAATTTATCAGTAAATATAAAGAAAATATACGAACAGCAATGGAAAATGATTTATTAGCAAAACAGTATAGACTCTCATTATTACTAGAACAGATTATAACAACAATGGAAACGTTTGAACTTGATGTTTAAATATAATCTTCCATATGTTTTGTTAGTTAATTTTTCCATTTATCTAAACTCACTCTCTTAAATATTATTCATTGTAAAATATTTAAAAACAAAACATATAACAAGAATTTCCGGGTTGAAACGGCAAAATAATCAATATTTATGTTAGATTAATATTCGTGACATTTCCGTCAATATTAAATTTCTATAAAGTGGTACATATAAACAAATACAACTAGAATAGTGAGTACATGTACCAATTTAAGCAACAAAAGCAAGAAAATTTTTTTATATTTCACAGTCGAACATTAAATATTAATTTACTTAATAAGTAGAAAAACAAATTATTTATTTGAGATCAATCAGTTCATTTTCATCATCATCATCTTCATTTGATTTGATATTTGAAATAATAAATTGTGAATGATTTTCAACATTATTTTGATTATTTTTCAAATTTAATTGTTCTTGTTTTAATACTTTGATAGCATGTTTCAAAACATAATTTACAATTTCAGCACTAAGATCTTGAAAATAAAGTTCTTCGTTCTCGAGTAACGATGGACGACGAATTGAACGAAGAAATGACATACTGAAATCATTGTCATTATTAGATGTAGTTGGTAATGAAGATAAATAAGATAAAGAGGATGATGTTGATTGTTGATTGATATTATTCTGTTGAACATCCGATGGTGTATAGGTTAATATATCCAAACTTGAATTAAGTATTTTATCGGCAATTGAATGAGCACTTTTAATAATTTTTGTATGATCATCAATAATATTGTCATTATTCATATCTAAATCTTCAGCAAATGAAACACATTTTGATTTTCTCTGATATTGATTTAAACGTTCTGTTCTTGCCGTTGTACAAATTGATGAACTACGACAAGTAGTTTGACGAGGTTTGTCAAGAAGTTCAGATTTTCGTCTATTTGTCTTTGGTGATAATGTATGTATGATACTATTAAAAATATTACCGGCTGTTGTTTGCACTGAATTTACAGTCGATGATGATGTACTATTATCAACTGTATTATCATCTCTAATGTCACATACTTTATGATGATCAGATATCAATGAATTATTAGAGTTATTTGTTTCGATTAAAGTAGACATATTGGTAATAGGTTCATTTATTTCAACATTATTATCAATAGATTTTTTAGATGTTAAATTTTCATTTCGATCAGTTGATAACGGTCGACGAAATTCTCGGCCAAATGCTAGTAAGGGACGTGCTTTGAATAGAAAAAAATTTATTAATATTTAATATAACAATTAATGATTAAATAAAATATATAATACTTACCTATACGATTTTCAAATATTTCTCCAGCAATTTTTAAATGACCAAAAAATTGGGTTTTAAATTTTAATGGTTCGATGCCCGCGGTGGTCGGTGCCGATGATGATGATGATGATGCCATTAATTTTTTTTTTAAACAAGAGAAATAGATAAGATACTCACTTCTCTACTTATATAGAAAAAATTCATTAAAAGGTTTTCTTCTTCTATTTTTTCCATTTCATGTCTATAAATCTACAATATGAAATGGTTGCCCGTTTCCTAAAATTCATTATAAAAACATCATCGTCATTTTTTCTCTCATATATATCTGTGTGTGTGTATGTGTATATATGCTGATCTTTTATTGTAGGAAGTAGAAGTTTTTTTTTCAAAAAATTCATCTTATTCTCGTTGTTTTTTATTAAGAAAAACTTTCTCATTCTGTGTTCATTCAGATATGGATTACTCTGTTTTATGTTCCATGTTCGCAACAAAAATAAAGTTAGAGAAAAACTTTCTCTTAGCACTCAAAATGTAAGAATGTCTATCTCTATCACACATACTTAAGTATATAAAGAGCTTCTTACAATAAAAATATGAATAGTTTGTATGAGAGGAGGAGGGGGGGGGGGGTGAACCCAGGAGTACATCAAGCAAAAGAAATCTGAACGACGAACATGTATCATAACTCATTTTTTATATTCTTTGTTCTTTTTTTTTTTAATTTGTTTTTCAAGATATGTCCATTTAACAGGATATGGTGTCAAAGAGAGACGCTATCAAGAGACTGATTAAATTAAAACAGATTGTTAGACTCACATATATTATCCAGTTGACTATCTTTAATTATATTTCGCCCTATACGCAAGAGAATTACTAACACAAAGTCTTATGATATTTATCGAAGAAATAATTGGCAAATGTTTTTATGTAAGAAAATAGAGATTTCAAACTTGAACATTTTGTACAATGAAATTTATAAAGAAAAAAAGAAAAAGGCATTTAGTACGAGTTACACAGAGAAAAAACCACTGAGAACACAATCCATATTTCAAAAAATAATCCATTACAAGTTTTCAATACTATTCAGCAGTTCAGTAATTACCTTATTAATACTATCATTTATCCATTTTGCAGATTTAGAAAGTCGCTTCTTTACCTTATTAAAAAATGACATTTGTTTTCATTTAAATTTTTGTCCTTTTGGTTACTTTGTTATGGTCTCAATACCATTGAAACTTAATTCGGCAAATAAATCTCTCGTTTTACATTAAACCCAGTCATGTGAAACATGAGAGGGAGAAAATGATGATAATGACATTGTTCATATTATAATTGAAGAAGCAATCTCAGATCATGCAAAAGCAAATGAAGGAAAAAATATATGAAAACCCTGAAAGAGACTTGATATTCATGAAATAAATCAGAATAAAGATTCTGCTGATGACCCACTGGAACTTCTTGTATAAACTAAGATCTTAACTTCTTCAAGTTTTTCAGTAAGATCTTGATAAGAAAATGCAAAAAGTTAAATATCTTGAACACCTTAAAATTTTTTGAGTTCTTATACTAACATCTTGATAATTCTTGAATTATCGTTTTGTTTCACACTCTTGCTTACATATAACTTCGAAAGTTTTTCTTTCTTGAGCAAAACTGTTCAAGGATGAGTCTATGACAACATATGATTGTATATCTAATGGTTATGACTGTCATATAAAAAAGAAAATATATAAAAACATTGTCATCACAATACTTTGAAACATAGTGACTCAATCTTCTCAAGATCTTATTTTCCTGGCGTTTTTTCTAAGATCTTATGACATTTCTTTAACCCAAAATCTTGGGTACAAGAAGTTCCACTGGGGAGGAGGAAAGCACAGGAGTATATGTGCACGCTAAAACCCATTCTATGCCGCTTTAGTCAAACCATTTATAACAGATTGTTGCAGTAAGACGACTATAAAGTCGAAAGAATATTATTTAAAACAACAGATCAAACTGAAATTCAGAAATGATTATTAAAAATTGCATCTACTCCTATATAATTTGAGAGCACATAAGAACTAGGGATGGTATATCACTGTTACTCATGTATTACATTAACGAGGAAAGTATTTTTTAGTTTTAGGTTATCACAAGGTATCTACGGATGCCACAAGGCTTTGTTCTTTTTTGTGATATCCTGCTCTCGAGTAAAATAAAATCTTATCTTATCTTAAGTGTTTCTATTATCAATAAGAGTAATACTAAAAAGTTTTTTTTATATTATTTGGCAGATGTTGTACAAAAGACTTGATATTATAGGATGCTGAATGAAATGTTGTTGCAAGTCTATTTCATTGATAAATGTTGTCATAGCCGTCTTCGAATTTTGTTGATTGATGAGCAACCATTTTTAAATACAGATACCATCTCCCTGCTTAATACTACGTTCGCGTATGAGTTCATAGAGTAGCGTATTCGACACTTGTCTCAAATTGCAAATATATGTCAATGTTCGGCGATGTCTCGTTTCAAGTCTGGTTCGAAAATAATCAGATAGTATTGTATAGAATGAGAGGATTTAAAAAATGTGCGAATAAACAAACGAGTAGAGTAGGAAAATAGCTGAAAAAAGATTTTCTTTTGCATAAAAAATCTATTTTCTATTCAAGAAAAAATCAGGAAATCTTTTGAAGATTCTTTTGAAAAAACTGTTTCTATTAAAAAGTAAATACTAAAAAGTATTCCTATTATTAACAATAGGAATATCTTTTAGTATTTACTTTTCAACATTAGTGCTATCGGTAATAGAAATCTATACAATATTTGTATTACTGGTAACAGGCCACCCCTAATAAAAACAAATTTCTCACTTGTTTTTCAAAGAAATCGTTATTACTTATAAACTGAATTATAACATAAAACGAATGTGATTGATGTAAACTCATGGCAATGGTTAAGAATATTGTCGGTTTAAGCAGTTCATATTCAAAGAAAGATAAAAGAAAAACAAAATGTTGGAGATTGACTGGTTTGTGATTGTGTTTTGTGTGTACAAGTAGACGAATGTTTTGCGGTGATACGTTGCATGCTACAAATTAGCTGCAGTTGCATGTGCCTCATAAGTGTTTACTTATGGTTCATTACCGATCAAAGGTTCGTCATGCAAAATTGTAATAAGCAGTGTAATAACCGTCGATAACGAGAAAAGAGAAAAATAATGTAAATAACTGAAAAATTCAAGATATCTATCGTTCAGAAAAAAGTTTAAGATCACTAGAAATATTCATGGTGAAAATCTTGTGTCACTCACTATAGAAAGATAACTCTTGTCAGCTTATAATTAAAGTTGTATGAGAGACAGAGCAGTTTTCAGTGGAACATCTATTTTCAAACAATAATGGAAGAGATCAAAGTAGAAAATAAAAACTTTTTCATTGAAACTTTCCTAGAACATTTTATCAATATTTAGCAAAATATTTGTACAATTATTTCTTCAAATCATTTTTGTTGACTCCTCTGTCTACTTTACAATCGTTAAGAGCCCAATGAGAATCTACAGTAATTAAATAGATATACGTTTAGAAAAATTTACGCACTATTCACATGCAACAAACAAAAGAAATAGATAAAAAGATTCGAATCTAAGCCAAGGAAGCACGATGATAGAATATGAAATTGATTGATATGTATACAGTGTTGACGAGTATCTATTCTTCTATCATATGAATTCATAATACTTTTTAGTAATAAAACGGGCACATATTGTGTAAAAATATTTTCAGTGATTTTGAGAATCAATAATGGAGTGAAACATAATGACCATTACAAAACCAAACCGGTTAACTCATCACCTTACGGAACCGTAGTTCACTGGCGATTTGAATTGCAGCACATAACGGACAACATTCACCAACGCAAAAATCGTTAAGATATGTACCCTAAAAATACAATAGACATTAACTAGCTCTTGAACATCTTACACATTTGACAAGTACTGAACTGAATAGTCTTTCATTAGAGAACATAATAGTTACCACCAAGGATCTTTATAAGCTACTTGAAGATAAGTCCTCAATCGCTCAAGTCGAGTAACAATCAGGATTGCCAATCAGATCGCTACGATCAACGTGTTTATCCTGATTTTATGGGAAGAAGGCATTGGTCTTAGCACTGCAGTTGGTCACCCTGGTAACAATGAATGGGTAATAGTAAAACATGAAGACACCCACAGACACCCGCAGACACCCACAGACACCCACAGACACCCACAGACAGCACACATACAACCACAGACAGCCACAGACAGCTACACAGACATCCATGGATGTCTGTGTATGGATGTCTGTGTTTGGATGTCTGTGTAGCTGT